GGCCTGCGGTCCCGAGAGACCCGGGTTCGGTTCCCGCTAAGGGCATGTACCTCGGTTGCAGTTTGTCCCCGGCCCTGGTTGGTCGTGCGGGTGGCAGCCACTCGATGTGTCCCTTCACGTCGATGTTTCTCTCTCTCTTTCTCCCTCCCACTCTATCTGAACAAAAAATGGAAAAATGTCCTCGGATGAGGATAAAAAACCAAAAACAACTTGCCTCTTCCTGGGAGTTGGGTGGAGGATGCTATCAACAACACCTGAAACCTGGACCAGCTCACATTTATTCTGTTAGAAATTTGAACCCCTCCCCAAATGTTTTCATATTATGACATTTACTTTTTTTTTTTTTTTTTTTTATCCTCACTCGAGGACACTTTTGGATTCATCTTCAGACAGAGCGGGAAGGAGAGAAGGAAGAGAGAGAGAAAAACATCGATGTGAGAGAGACACATCGAGTGGCTGCCACCCACTTGACCCCAACCTGGACCGGGGACAAACTGCAACCGAGGTACATGCCCTTACCAGGAACCAAAACCGGGACTCTCTGGTCTGTGGGCCGACGCTCTAACCGCTGAGCCAAACCGGCCAGGGCGACAATTACTTTAAAAACATTTTTTTTTAATCCTCACCTGAGGATATTTTTCCATTGATTTTTTTTTTTTTTTTTTGGATAGAGTGGGAAGGAGGGCGGGAGAGAGAGAGAGAGAAACATTGATGTGAGAGAGACACATTGACTGGTTGCCTCCCACACTACTTTGAATGGGCTGGGGATTGAACCTGCAACTGAGGCACATGCCTTTGACTGGGAATCGAACCTGCGACTCTTAGGTCCATAGGCCGACGCTCCAACCACTGAGCCAAACTGGCTAGGGTGAAAATTCCGTTTTTATAGTACTTTGTAAACATACAAAATGGTGTCTGGGCAAAATATTACACTACCCATGTCAGTATCCTCTAAGTTACCTAGTGATCATGGCATACTAATTTCACAGTATTAGAGGGAACCATGGAAGAATCTTAGTTAATAAATCTATTTCATATATTAAACTTTTAAATGGATATCATTATGAATTAAGGTATGACTTACATTGGGATGAAGTCCAAGGTAGAGGGCAAGGACAAAAATGCAGTTTCACACCAGATCAGTAAGGTATCTGGTCAAGTTCATTCACGTGTCCTGGATACTCAAAAAGTTTCACGGCAATGAATGATCAGACAGCCTAAGGTAAATAGACAACAACAGAGTCCTGTTATTGTTGGAGGAAGATGGATTCCCTCTTCTTTCCAAAGTGCCCTCCCTCTGTTCTAACTCTTCCAGCTTTTTCCTCAGTTATTCCCACTATTCCTTTCCCCTGCTGCCCTCCTTCAATATTTCCACTGCTACTCAGTCCCATATTGTCTTTAAACATTATGACAGTTACAATGAACACATACTGAGTTTTTGCTAGATGCTGGACACTGTGCTCAGGGCTTTACAAACATTTTGATTTAATCTTCTGCTAAGTACTTTTTATTAATTATCCCTTACTTAACTCTTACAACCACTATATGAGATAGTTATTATTGTTATCTCTATTTTACAGATGGAAAAAAAAGAAGATCAGAAGGAATGATTAACTTGTCAAAGGCCACCTAGCTAGTAAGTGGAGGAGCCAGGGGACTGCCCAAGTCTGCCTGACTTTAGGGTCTGCACGCCTAAAATCTCAAGCCTCATTTGTCCCTACTGTCTACCACTTCCCATTGCCTTTTCTCCTTCTTTCTTTGGCCTCAGACTCACTGAATGTGTCAGTGCCTTCCTAAAAGGCATCTCCCTTAGCCTTCAAGCTCCACACTCCTGGTTCTGAGTCACCAGCATCTCTTCTTGCTCCCCAGATATTGCCTTTCTCCTAGGTTTAGTCATCAGCCTTTTTCTATTCTCTTGAAAGCTCTTTAAAAAAATATTACAGCAGAGGAGCACCATATCTGGGTCTCCAGAAACCTGGCTCACACTATTTGCCCCATCCCGGTGATTCCCTGAGGCCCTGTCCCATCCAACTTTGGGGCCCACCCAAGCTGTTTCCAGTGCCTTTACCACAGGATTGGCCTGTTTTGGCTCCTGCTTTAGATTTTCCTAAATTCTCTCAAACCAGCAGCATCTGACCTTAGTGAGCCCCATACCTCTTGCTAAGAGCCCCATACCTCTTGCTAAGTGGCCCCAGGCCTGGCACTAGGAGCAGCCAGCCTTGGTTAACAGCTTGGCTTTGCCTGGGCACCTCTAAGCCTAGAACAAGAAGCAGCCATCTGCAGATCACTTTGTAGCTTATGCCTGGTGGCCCCGGGTAAAACACATACAGTGGCTGACCTTGCCCCAGAGCCAGCACACCCAGTGGACAGCTTCAGACCACACTGAAGAAACACCACCCAACCACCTTCACAAGTGACACACTCAAGGAGTGGACTCAGTGGGTACCAGATCCCTGCTGAAGTAAGTCTTACTCTGTGTGGTGGGCCCCTGTACAGCTGATCCTCTAAGGCAGTCAGAGGTCAGTGGTCAGTGGGCACAGCCAGTCCTTGGAGCTGATCAGCCTGAGTAAATCCCCCCCACTGATGTGCCAACAGCAATCAAGACTCAATTACAACCGAAGGGTGGACAGTCTGCATGAGGGATGCACCTCGAGGGCCCAGCTGAGTGACCAGGGAAGGTTGTGCCACTGGACCCTATAGGACATCTACTGCAATAGGCCACCCTAAGTAGCTTAGGAGATATAGCAGCTCTACCTAATACATAGAAACAAGCACAAGGAAGCAGCCAAAATGAGGAGACAAAGAAACATGTCTCAAATGAAAGAAAAGAACAAAACTCCAGGAAAAGAACTAAATGAAACAGAGATAAGCAATCTAACAGATACAGAGTTCAAAATGCTGCTTATAAGGAAGCTCAAGGAACTTAGTGAGAAGTTCAAGGAACCTAGTGAGAACTTCAAGGAACTTAGTGAAGACCTCAAGAGCATAAAAAAGGACCAGTCAGAAATGAAGGATGCACTAACTGAAATGAAGAATAATTTACAGAGAATAAATAGAGTAGGTAAAGCTGAGAAGCGAACCATTGATTTGGAATATAAGGAAGCAAAAAACACCCAATCAGAACAGCAAAAAAGAAAAAAGAATCCAAAAATGAGGATAGTGTAAGGAGCCTCTGGGACAACTTCAGGCATACCAACATTCGCATCATGGGAATGCCGGAAGGAGAAGAGAGAGCAAGAAATTGAAAACTTATTTGAAAAAATAATGACAGAAAACTTGGTGAAGGAAACAGACATACAAGTCCAGAAAGCACAGAGTCCAAAACAAGATGAACCCCAAGAAGTCCACACCAAGATACATCATAATCAAAATACAAAAGGTTCAAGATAAAGAGAAAATCTTAAAAGCAGCAAGAGAAAAGCAGTTAGTTACAAGGGAGCTGTCAAGTGATTTCTCAAAAGAAACTTTGCAGGACAGAAAGAAGTGGCAAGAGATATTCAAAGTGATGAAAACCAAGATTACTCTATCCTGCAAAGCTATCTTTTAGAATCCATGGATATATAGTATTTCAGACAAGAAAAAGCTAAAGGAGTTCATCACCACCAAGCCAGTATTATATGAAATGTTGAAGGGTCTTCTTGAAGAAAAAGATAAAAAAATATGAACAATAAAATGGCAATAAATACACATCTATCAACAATTGAATCTACAAACAAAATGAACAAGCAGAACAGAAACAGTCTCATAGATACAGAGAAATTTTTGTTGGTTGCCAGGTGGGAAGAGGATTGGGGGGATGGGTGAAAAAGGTGAAGGGATCAAGAAATATAAATTGGTTATTAGACTAACAAACCTCAAGGGGAAGGGAGGAGGTGGGGTGGGAAGAGATAAACCAAAGAACTTATGTGCATAACCAGTGGACACAGACAATAGTGTGGGGAAGGCGGGAGGGGCAGGGGAGTGGGGAGGAGGGGGACAATAGGGGGAAAAGGGGAGACATCTGTGATGTTCTCAACAATAAATATAAGTTTTAAAAAATAAAATAAGGCAGAAAATATTACAGCTTGTGCTTCTTATAGATGACCAAATCTCTAGCCTTAAACTTTTCTCCTGACATGTAGTACTGCTTCTATACTTCTTAGATTTTTCCATTTGGTTGTTTCCCTACCATTTCAAACACATGCTTCAAACATGAATTTGCTTTTTATTAACCTCCCTATTTTATCTTTATTTATCTACATAAAGCCTTTATCAACTTACTAGTACCTTAACAATAAAGTCTATATTTCATTCAGGCATTAAAGTTCTTCCAGATCTCACTCTGATGTAACTTTTTAGTCTTATTCCCTCTATTCCCTAAAATGAACTATCGTTTTAGCCAGATCAACCTAAGCCACTGTCCTCCAAACACCTGATTCAGCTCTCTGCTGTCCCTTCAGACAAAGGCTACCTGCTCTGGGAAGACTTTTCTGAGCACTTATCAGGAACCAAGAATATGGTGTTAATTATTATCATCTTTTCCTGGGTCCACACTTGATCTACTCAATTATATTGTGATCTTTACATTATAACTCCTTCAGTATCTAGTGTGGCACACTGCCTTGCATATAGTAAGCACTTCGTAAATATTAGTTGATTGGTTGGTTGTTGAGTGGGAGGGTAGAATATGGAGAGAGACTGACCATAGAAGTGTATCCAAAGACTTGAACTCTTTCCTGGAGGACAAAGACTACATTTTCCTTATCTTTTTATTTTGGGAGCCCAAACCAGTGCCTAGCCTTCAGTAGTTCAGTTCTGCTCAGCAGGCCTGCTTTTACTGAGTGTTGACTGTGTGCCAGGCACTGTGCTAGGTGCTGAGCTTCCATAAGTGTTTGTAAATGAATGAAAGTGTTTGCAAATGAACGAAATGGTTTGGGAGTTATGTCTCTATTTCCAAGCTTCTGTTTGGCCACCTTTCATGCAAGTGAATCTTGGTGTTTCTGTGGTTGGCAGGTATTAATAGAAAGTCCCAATGCACAACCTGAGATGCTTCCTTTCCAGAGTGGGTCTCTTCTCCAAACCAGGACTGCTCCCCTGGTGTTCCAGAAAACCTCCAGGTTGGTCACAGCTTTTCTTGGACTCAGCATGTAAGGGAACCTTCACTCACGTGACTGCCAAGAAGTGTCCAAGAAGACAGAAAAGTCACAAGAAACCAAGCTGTCTTGGACCATTAGATGGTTCCTGGCAAGAAAAGTAAGACTCAGGCTTATGTTTTTTCCCCTTAATAAATCTGATTCTCTGGGCCTACTGAAATTCTGTTTTCCTGATGTAACTAATGTGGCATGGCAAGGATTCAAAGGGGCACCTCAGATAGGATACCCAGGGCAAACTTGAAGACATCTGAGGACTATTGTGGGAAATGCTTTGGTATTGCAGAAAGTATTCTCCTTGCCTTTCGCAGAAAGGAGACATTAAACTGGGACCTTATCTCTCAAAAGGTCCAGGGCAGGTGTACTAAAAACCAGAGACCCAGAGAGAGATTAGATGGACTAGAAATGAATAGTCCCATTGCAGCCATGCAAACACAGATATACCTTATTTTATGCAACAAATGTATTTTCTAGATCAAATTATATATTTAAAGCATTAGGGAGGTGGACTGTATAAAGGAACCCAATAGTGAAGCCTTTTGTAACATGACTAATTACCTCCTGATAAATCTGTATTTTTCTTATATTAGGTTTGCCCATCTGTTCTGCTTTGTCAAGTAGATAGGACCAAAATGGGCTCTTCTCCCAAACTCTATCTCCCCAGGGGCATGAGAATTATGTCTTCTGAATAATACAAAAAATGCCAGAGAAAATAGTGGCAGGAAGTACTTATGCATAGTATAGGTACTTAGTACATATTTATATAATGAACTAAATGCCTGAATTATTTTATTTGAGGCTGGCCGATGTTGTGACACCACTCTGGAGGCTGAGCTATGAAGAACAGCTCAAGGTTAGTACCCAGCTTAAGTCTTCACTCCTCTGTTCCATCAGGTGAATGGTGTTAGACTTGTAAGAATCTTGACTGGATAGCTCTACCCAGACACTCCCAAGGAGTCCTTAAATTCAGTATACTAAAAACTCTGAAAATTCACTTTAGGCCAGTTATGTCTTCTAAACTCTAGAGCCATATATAAATGCTTTTTCCTGCCTCACTTATTTTTTGTTATTCTTACAGCTTTAGCTACATGTAGCTATTTAAATTTAAATACAGTCAGTTCTGCTATAATGCTTGTTTTGAAAATGGAAATTTGTTCCAATGGATTGATATATTAGGAAATAATTTGTACATAATACAAATTTCACGTTTGCAAAGAAGGAAACCAAAGAATTTATATGCTTATATGCATAGATCTTAGACACAGACAATAGTCCAGTGAAGGTGTGGGGTGGGGCAGGAGCCCAGTGGAGGGGCACAAAAGGAGAGAAAATGGGGGACATCTGTAATATTTTCACCAATAAAATAAATTTAAAAAAAAGAAAGAAAGAAGGAAACTACACCCAGCTGAACTGAGCTGCATGAGAATCCATTCATAAAATGAACGTACGCATACATCTCAGACATCTGCAGCTCTCTCAGTTCGCTGAGTGTGTTATGAGCCACACCCGTTCACATCTGCTATTAGAAAAATAGCACATGGCCCTCCTTTTACCACCTCATGATAACTTACAACTGGAGAGCTACTTCCACAAGCAAACTTCAGGTATTTGTTAGGGCAAAGTGCCATTTTTATTGTAGTATTTATCCATTTTATAACCATCTCACATGTAAAACTACATTACTCTTTTTGTTAGGTTCCTATCTTTTCTGTATCTATTACTGATAAAGTTTTGGAATATGTGTGCCCAACCCTATTTTTCCCATGAGCTCTATGATTTCTTTTGCGTAGTGTGGTATAAGAACACTTATTTTATGTTAGAGCAGAACTGACTGTCTTAAATTAATTAAAATTAAATAAGATTAAAAATTTAATTCTTCAGTCACACGAGTCACATTTCAAGTGCTCAGTGGTCACATGTGGCTGGTGGCTACCATATTACATAGACCATGATACCAAAATAGAACATTTCTGTTACCACAGCAAGTTTTACTTAACAGCACTCACATATATAACTTGAGTGTTCAGTCTGAAAGTTCAGATAAAATGATAAGCTTACACAAGAGCTCATTCTTGACCTTTCCCCAGTACCTTTTTAGGTCTATTACTTTTCCATCATTCTGGATTCCTTATCTGCTGAGACCATGACCCAAGTATCTGTGGGATAACCTTCTCGTATCCTATTTGTTTTCCATCCTTTGAGGCGATATTGCAAAAGTCTTGTTTTATTGCTTATATTTTTTTGCAGGTGAAATTCAAAGCTCAGAAGAAAATTTTACGAAGACTAGAGTCTTACCTCCAAACGTTCCATGGAGTCAAAGTGACAGCAGCAGCAGCCAAATTGGAGGGGTTCCATTGTCTTCTCCATCCTATTATACCCTCTGTAAGCCCTCACATCCTGGTCAGTTGTTGGGTGATTAGTATGCATTATTAACTTGTTTACTGTTTACAGTCACTTGGCGGGGCATAGATACTTTTCATTTTACAGATGAAGACATTGAGGCTCAGCGAGATTAAATAATTCGCCCAAGGGTATACATCTAGAATGTGCCAGAACTGAGATTCACACTCAGGCCTATTTACTGCAAAATCCACTTTCTCAACTACTACCCTACTACCTCCTTGGAAAAATTCTGACTTGGGAAACCTAAAGAGGCCTCAGAGAGGCAAAATTTAATTTATGGCAGAGGTTGGCAAACTATGGCCCTTAGGCCATGTCTATTTTGCTGCTTGATTTTGTAAATAAAGTTTTATTGGAACAGCTGAGCTCCTTGTCTATGGATTGTCTATATGGCTGCTTTCACACTACAACAGCAGAGTTAAGTAGTTGTGATCGGAACCATATGGCCTGCGAAGCCTAAAAATATTTGCTATCTGTCTCTATACTAAAAAAGTTTGCTGAGTTCTGCTTTAAGGCCAGATTGGAACTCCTTTCTACTATGAAGTGTCCATGGAGTGTCTTGATCTCAGTCATGAACTTTTATCTGTGTTGTAGTTTCCAAGCAAGCATCACTTATTTGTCCTTATCCAGAGAACATTCATTCATTCCCTATATTGTTGTCCTCCTTGATTTCATTTGCCATTTTCCCTTTCCTTTCCTTCTGCCTCCTTCAGCCTGTCATCGATGGCTACCGAAATAAGTCCACTTTCTCTGTGAACCGAGGTCCAGATGGCAATCCAAAGACCGTGGGATACTACCTGGGAACTTGGAGAGGTCAGTTGATGGCCATGATTAGTAGAAATAACAAACCAAGGAGAGGAGGGGAATGGTGCAGAGAACAGTGTCAGTGGGAGTGGAGAGGAGTTGGAAACATGGTGGCCTTAAAGGATTAGGTTGAATTGAAAGTCTTCGATGCTGAACTTGATCACAAGGTTAATTGTGGATACATTTTTGACTAGTTATTATAACATAGTGATAGGAATCACAATCCTCATCCTTTCTCCCTCTAAAAACTGTATGCTTGAAACCTAGTAAGTGCTTGGTAAATGTTAATATTGCTGCTGCTGCTGCTGCTCTCTCCTCATCATTGTCGTCATCATCATCGTCATTGTCATCATTGTATGCTACTTTCTGTACTGGGAGCAGTCTCCTCCTTATTAGAGTTGCCTTTTCTGTTTCACATCCCCATATCCCTGAAAACTAGAGCTTTCTTTGATAAATTTGCCTTAAAAGAATCAATAGGGGAAATGTTGGTGAGGGAAATTATAATGGCATATTTCTAAGACTTAATTCCAGTATCCATCCCCAGATTCCATTCCTGAACTTTTGATTTGCCCATTTTAATAGATTCACTGAAAATACCATCATTTTATATTAGTCTCACTGTTTTTTTTTTGTTTTGTTTTAATCCTCACCTGAGGACATTTTTCCATTTTTTGTGCAGGTAGAGTAGGAAGGAGAGAGAGGAACAGAGAGAGAGAGAGAAACATCGACGTGAAGGGACACTTCGAGTGGCTGCCACCCTCACGACCAACCAGGGCCGGGGACAAACTGCAACCGAGGTATGTGCCCTTAGCGGGAACCGAACCCGGGTCTCTCAGGACCACAGGCTGCAGTTCTAACCGCTGAGCCAAACCGGCCAGGGCTAGTCTCACTGTTTAATATCCATGTGCCTTAAGGTACAGTTCATTAGGGCAGACACTTGGCTATTTCCCCCCTGTGTGCAGAATTAAATGAGTATATGATGTTACCATTCTATTATTCAGTAACAGAAAAACAAATCCCATTACATTTTATTTCCTTTTTAAAATCTAAACAGAAAGTAGATGTTGTCATATTGCTTATCTGTGGCATGAGATAAAATATTTTGTATTAGCTCATTAAGAATGGGCTTCTTGCCCTGGCAGGTTTGGCTCGGCGGTTGGAGCATTGGCCTGCAGACCAGAGAGTCCCGGGTTCGGTTCCTGCTAGGGGCACGTACCAAAAAAAAAAAAAAAAGAAAGAATGGGCTTCTTGCCTGGCTGATGTGGCTCAGGGGACTGAGCATCGTTCTGTCGACTGAGAGGTCCTGGTTTGATTCCCGGTCAGGGCATATGCCTGGGTTGCTGGCTCGATCCCCAGTCAAGAATGTGCGGGAGGCAGCCGATTTATGTTTCTCTCTCACATCAATGTTTCTATCGCTCTTGAAAAAAAAAATCAATAAAAACATATTTAAAAAACAATAGGCTTCTTAATGGCTAGACTAGGAAATAGGTTTTCTCTGAAAAAATGGCTTTGGGCCCTGGCCAGTTTGGCTCAGCGGTTAGAGCGTCGGCCTGCGGTCCGGAGAGACCCGGGTTCGGTTCCCGCTAAGGGCACGTACCTTGGTTGCAGTTTGTCCCCGGCCCTGGTTGGTCATGTGGGTGGCAGCCACTCGATGTGTCCCTTCACGTCGATGTTTCTCTCTCTCTCTCCCTTCCTCTCTCTCCCTCCCACTCTATCTGTATAAAAAAGGGAAAAATGTCCTTGGGTGAGGATAAAAAAAAAAAAAAATGGCTTTGGGGTTGAAGTAGATACTTTGCTTCTCCGTATCTGCATACACCTCTTTGAAGGAGGGAATTTAAGTTGCCAGACATTTTCTTCTAATCTTTTAGATTAAAAATGTATAAATCAAATTATTTTTCTTTCCATAGACAGAAACATCGTCTGTATACGGTCTAATCATCTGAAAAACATCCCTGAGAAACACAGTCAAGTGGCCCAGGTAATAAGGAACAAGGGCTGGTTGAAGATGACCCGGGGCATTGTAGTCTGGAACAGCAGCAGCCCTGACATTTTAATAATAGAGCTGCTTCAGGAGAGGTGGGGCTGTGTTCTGAAATTATATCTCTTAACGTGGAGAGAACATTTCTAGTGTTTCATTTCAGGGAGGGTGGAGAGGAGGAGAGAAAACTGCATCCATTACTGCAAATGTCAGACATCCAAGGAATTTTAATGGGAGGGAAGTATTAGGAAAGAGAGGTACTGCTGAGGGCAGTATAGCAAGTGACAGGTGTCTGAAATATTTGGAAGGCTAGTATTTTCGGCAGAACAGAATTGAGAATTATCATGAGACATGTTGGATTGATGGTAAAGCATCTACATCAGGAGGCTGGCCTCTGAGACATTTTTATGTCCTTTTGTTTTATGTGCCCACTATTTATTAAGTGCCTACTATGTGTAGGGCACTGTGCTCAGTGCTAGGGATCCAATGATGACTCAAATAGACATGATGCCTGCCCTCATGGAACTTAAACAGGCAAAAGCCTTACTCGTGATGACTGAACAGAACTCCCAGCTAAATATTCTTATTATCTGTTAATTCTTACCTGCACCCACCCTCCTAATGATTCAGGTTTTTGACAATTGGGTGGTGCCTTCTGATAGGACACCACATGATCTCCAAGATTTTCCTGCTAGGACACAGCTCCCTTTGTAGGATCTTTCTTCAGAAATCCTCCTACATGATCTTTGTCAGCTGATTCTCCCATTCTCTCCAGTGACTCTTCTAAACTCTTACCTCTCCTCAAATTTCCTACCTCATTGCCTTTACCCTTGCTCTTGGCAGATGACCATTTCTGGTTCTTCACTGAAAAATTAAGGCCATCAAATGAAAAATCCTTTTGCTGCTTCTCCTACCATCCACCAACTTTGCTAAAATTTTATCCCTCCTCCCCTCTTCTCAGTGAAAGGCCATCGGTCCTCTCCCTGGCCAGTGCTCTCCTTCCTTGAAACACCATCTTGAAATCATCTCCTCCCTCCTCAGGATCTTGCTCCTTCATTATATACCCTCTTTCTCCTGTTTCTTTACCTCCTTCCCCCCATATCTGTCTTCTCTTTTTTTTAGTTCATAAACATGTTAAATGTCTTCAATCTTTTTAAAAAATCTGATATTTCTTCCTTCTGCCCCCAACACTCCATGGAACTTCATCTTGCCAAAGTCATCATTTTGCCAAATCCAGTGGAAACTTTCTGCTCCTAACTTGCTCGACTTTTCTCTGCCATGGGCGCTATTTATTCTCATTTTCCTCCTTGAAACACTGTTTTTGTTTGGTTTCTGTGATACCATTTTCTGATGGTTTTCTTCCTATCTCACTGGCTACTTTTTAGTTTTTCTCATGGGATCTTTTCCTCTTCTCCTTTCCTACTATAAGTGTTGGTGTCCCCCAGGGTTCTGCCCTTGGCCTTCTTTTTAAATATATTCATGGGTGATTGTACCCATGTATAGCTGATGACTGGAATGACCACCTATAAATTGACAACTCTTTTTTTTTGTATCCTCACCCAAAGACATTTTTCCATTTTTTTGTTCAGATAGAGTGGGAGGGGGAGAGAGAGAGAGAAACATCAACATGAAAGGGACACATCGAGTGGCTGCCACCCACATGACCCAACCAGGGCCGGGGACAAACCGCAACCGAGATACGTGCCCTTAGCGGGAACCGAACCAGGGTCTCTCTGAACCGCAGGCTGGTGCTCTAACCGCTGAGCAAAACCGGCCAGGGCTAAATTGACAACTCTTAAACATATATAGTTGACCCTTGAACAATGTGGGGCTTAGGGGCACCAATTAACTGCACAGTTGAAAATCTACATATATGTTTTGACTCCCCCAAAGTTAACTACTAATAGCCTGCTGTTGACTAGAAACCTTACAGATGTTACAGATGTCCCCAAATTTTCCAATATATTTGTTATAAAAACCTGAATATAAGTGGACCCACGCAGTTTAATTGTCTGTTTAAGGGTCAACTGTATTTGCATTCTGGCTCCCTCTTGAACTGCATTTCCGAAGGCTACTGAAGATCCTCACCTAGCTGTCCTGCAGAGTTCTTCAAATCAGCATTGCTTTAGACGAAGGTTTCTCACCCTCCACAGTATTGGCATTTTGGGCTAGATAATTGTCTGTTGTGTGGGGCTGTTAGGTGCATTGTAAAATGTTAGTAGCATCCCTGACCTCTATGTACTACATTGCCATTAGTTTTGACAACCAAAAATATCTCCAGATGTCTTTGGGGAGCACGCTCACCTACATTTGAGAACCACTGCCTTTAAACTAAAGTTATCTTCTTTCCTTTCCAGATGTGCTTCTTTTGTTGTCACCTTATTAAATGGTAGCACCCTGTACTAGAAGCATGTGTCATCCTAGGCTCCTCTGTTTTAATTCTCCCTTCCTCCTCAGCCACATTTAATCAGTCTCCAAGTCCTGTGAGTTTTTCTTTGAAAAATATCTTGATTCCACCTTCTTCTCTCTATTTCCACTACCATGATCACCACCACCACTACCATCCTCTCTCGCCTCCAAACTGGCTTCACCGATTCTAGCCCCCTGCCTCAGTGTATTCTCCACACTGCAGCCAGAGCCATCTTTAAAATGCAAATGAATCATATAATTCTCCTTAAAATTCTGTAGCAGTTGCTTAATGGTTTTTAAAATAAACATTAAATTCCTTACCTTTTCCCTTAAAGAACTTCGTGATAAAGTCCCTGGCCTCATCTTCTGCCACATCTTCACATGTTTTCCTCTTTCCATTTGTATTGAACTAGAGTTAGCCTGCCAGCCTTACTCCTGCCTGAGGCTGTCCTCTTTCAGAATGCCCTCAGTTTTTGTTGCCGGGATTCTACTCCTGCTCTAAAGTTCATTTTAAAGCATCAGATCCTGTAGAACATCTCATCTGACTCCTCAGTCTGATTAAGGAGTCCCCCCTTCTGCACTCCTGTATCTCATTGTATATCTCTTCTTGTAGCACTTGTTACACCATATTGCATTCTTGTACTTTGGTGCTTCCCACACTGGATGTGGAGGTAGCAGCTATGTATTATTATTTTTAAAGGATTTTTGTTTGTTTACTACATCTGAAAAAGATGCATATACAAAGAATTGAGACATGAGAATGCATTGGTTCAACACTAATGAATCTACAAGAATTAGGATTTGGGGAAGGTGGAGAAGATTACTGAAACATTTTTAAAAATTGGAAACTGCAACCAAAATAAGCTGATAAAAATCCCTATTAACCTTTATGAAGAGTCTTCATAAGACTCTCTCTATGATTTTTATTTAACTAAAGAACCTTAATTGGCTGCTCTAGTGTTCCTCATGCAAAACAGAAATAAGGGGATTCCCTTGATTGGTCCCCATGTTGTTAAATGTTCTCCCCACCGTCACCCCATCCCAACTTCTTAATGAAGCGGTTCTCTGTCCTCATAACTTGAAAAGAATGTGAATCATTCCACATACATGTGTCTTCTAGCACCACACCTCATATATATCAGGTCTTCAGTTGTGTTCTAGGAACACCATATCATACGCTATTTAGCTGCACATCTATGCTAAGCATATAAGAGAATGATTGACAAGGAAAAACATTTTTTTTTAGTTATATACTTATTCCATTGGGTATATTTCAAAAGGTGCAATACTTTGCTTTCATTTATCAATGAAAGAAGTTAGACATTAACTTCAAAAAAAAAAAAAAAAAAAACCCCAGCAAATGACTAACAAATTTCCTTGAAAGTCAGTCACATACATAGTGCATCCTAGAAAAGAGGAGGGGCAAGACAGATTCCACCCACTTTCACTAAATACTGAACCTACTCAAGGGTGGAGGGAAAAGGCAACTTTCAAAAAGGAGTATGTTATTAAATGAGGCATTTACTATACTGCTTCCTAAGAGCACCAGGTGGGGAACATGTTTTTTATATTAGATCTAGGATGTGCAATGTGGAATCACTCCATCCTCCTGACCTAAAAGGCTGTCCAATGGTTAATGAATTTTTTTAATGACTAAATAAAAATACCCCCCATTCTCTTCCCCTCAAAATAAAAAAAAATCCTAGATATTCCAGATTGCTCTCTAGAGTGGAACTCAGGCCCTGGCCGGTTTGGCTCAGCGGTTAGAGCGTGGGCCTGCGGTCCGGAGAGACCCGGGTTCGGTTCCCACTAAGGGCACGTACTTCGGTTGCAGTTTGTCCCCGGCCCTGATTGGGTCGTGCAGGTGGCAGCCACTCGATGTGTCCCTTCACGTCGATGTTTCTCTCTCTCTCTCCCTTCCTCTCCCTCCCACTCTATCTGTACAAAAAATGGAAAAATATTCTCAGGTGAGGATAAAAAAAAAAAAAAAAATTAGAGTGGAACTCAGGAGCAACTTCAACAACCCAAATTAGTCTGTTACAGAGTCGTCACAAGCATGCCTTGCTTTTAAACAAAAAAAAAAGTTTTTTTTGAAACAATAATACATGTTTCTGACAATACACATTTACTCAAAATTAACTAGTATTGAGAGAGGGAAAGAGACCATACCTATGGGCCTTGTTTCACACAAGTGAGTATGGTAGGTGCAGGGCATTTATCATTATTGCAAAAAAAAATTTAATTTTTAATCTTGAGTTTGATTTCAACATTACTTTTGGCATGATGCCAATACCAGCTGTGCAGAAAGGGCTCTGGAGAGATGTTCATAGCAGCACACACCTGCAGTTCTTTTTCGGTTCTGGAGGATCCAGGGCAGCCAATATTACTTCATCAGATACATTCTTTTCTCTTTTTTTGAGGGAGAGAGGGAGGAAGAGAGAGAGAGAAACATCGATGTGAGAGAGACACATCGAGTGGTTGCCACCCACATGACCCCACCCGGGGCTGGGGACAAACCGCAACTGAGGTATGTGCCCTTAGCGGGAACTGAACCTAGGACTCTCCGGTCCACGGGCTGACGCTCTAACCAC